GGTTGTGCCAGAGTTGAACTTTATAATCAAACCGACTCAACTTGTCAACTACTCTCATAGAACTTTTTAATTAACCCTTTTTTCCGGAACTTTTCCCTTCAATTCTGCGACGGAGGAAGAAAAAAGGTAATAATCGTAGTGATGGAACATTAAAAAGGAAAACAGTCGGTCTTCTCTCTAATTCGTCGCCCCTCTGACGCAAGGGCCTATCTCGATTTCGGGATGAGCTCCAGAAAGCATTAACTCATATGTGAAACAGGGCTCACGCGAAAATTGAGATACGCCTTTACGTCAGAGAAGCGACGAATTTCAGCAGTACTCAAATCGTCGTTTCCCGGACGAAGAAAAGTAACTCCATTCCAAGGTCGCCAAATTGACTGAAAAAACTAATTTTTTTTTTTTACTAGAATGTACCTACGTGTGAAATTTTTGTCTAAAATTTCTCTGGTTTTTGCATGAGATCAGCGGAAAAATCTATGAGATTTTCAGTCAGAAATGCACAAGACTCTCTTGATAAAAATGCAGTTTGCAAAGGGACATTTGGCAACATCGAAATATAGTCACGTTCTTTCGTGAGGGAAAGGACGCAGTGGCAGTACAAAACGAACCGATCCACTTCCATTTAAGAGCGCATAAATGAATTTCCCGAATATTTTTATAATTTCACCGTTTTTTTTCAGCGGGGAGAAAAAATTGTCGCACTTTTCAATCAGAAAAATGCGACGAGTCTAGCAAATATTCCTTAATACTTTTTCATCTAAAAAAATTGAGTTTTGAGTTTTTGGCGAATAACTATATAGCATCTCAAAGAATATTTATGGTAAAAGTCTCCGAGGATGTATCTGGAAATTACATCGTCCCAACTTCTTCTTTGAACTCTGTTTTTTTCCGAAGAAAAAGAACCGTACTTTATCTCTTGGAATTTTCACTTATTTTTCCTCATTCCGCACAGAATATTTTGGGAATGTTTCAAACGATGGCGTTCGCAGTGAAAAAAATAAAAATAAAATAATGGCGAGAATTCTGAAACGTCTAGAGCGGATTACGTGTTTTGGGAGTTTTACTGTCGAAATTTTGCTGGCTTCTTAATTAATTCTCATCCCAATCAGGGGCTTAAAATTGCATTTCTCCTCGAAGATTTCAATCCCGGACGAAATAGATTTGTCTAAATTATTATTTTTGAATTGCTGCTCTCAGACTGTCATAATTTCAATTTTGTTTCATATATGTAAGAGAATTTTTTGTTCACCAAAATAGTGACACAACGATGCCATATGCAGTGATGCTGATTTATAAATTTTTAACTCTTTAGTAATGTATGCCCGTTTCAGTGGAGCGTCACATATTATTTATGGGTCAGTTGCGCTAATCATAGAGTTGCGTCTTGATGGTTTAAGCTCTCTGATAAGCAAAAAATCATAAGCTCTGTCTATAAGTCGAGTTTCCACGTCCAATATTAGCGAATTCGTTGCACTTGGAAAAACTCGATGAACGGCATCATCCGCCATCTTAATATTATAGTACTTACCATGGTTTCTTCCACCTCCGATTCATGGATTCGTGTTGTGCACATTTTCTCACTGTTTATTTTACTTAATCCACGGATGACACTAAGGTGGAATCAACCATGTTATGCTCAAACGCAATTGATGACGTCATGTGCCTTTTTTGTGACGGGTGATACATTCGTAAGTACTCATATTTGACGTGGAAATTTGGGGTTTGGACGGATCTTACTATTTTTTGCTGATCTATGATATCTGAAATTACCAAAACACGATTCTGTGATCGTAACTGACCCAAGGTAGAGTACCTGTATAGCGAGAGTATAGACCGATGTGAAACTCCGAAAATCCACCAGGCCTTCACCATGTGCCTCCGCGAATGAAGTTAGGGCCCAGAAATGCAGCCAACCTATGAATTTCAATTATCCAGACGATTTACTAATACAATTGCTACGAACCATCGTTTGTAAAGCACGTATTTGACTTAGTTTTTGCCTAAATTTACTCATTTTTGCGGAAAAACGCTCATTTATGTGCATTCTTAGCCATCTTGGTTTGAATTGGAACATGCAGACTGGCAGTGAAATTTTGTGCGTTAGAAGTTGGTTAGAAGGGTGGCTGCACTTTTGGGCCCTAAGCCCTCCATGAAGCGATCTGTCCATACTCTCGCTATATAGGTACTCTAACCTAAGGGTTCGTGTTTTCTGTTCTTCGCGGTGAAATTGACAACGCTGATTGGTTCAAAAAACAACCGAAGACGCACAAGCGGGCAATGGCGGAGCAAAACAACCCGGAGCGGCGGGGCATCGGGGTGCACGGACCAGCTTAACATAAGCTACTTTTCATCAATTGCCTCCGCTTAATCGCTCTCGTGAAGCTATCCATCCCTGAAACACGCGTGAAAAACACCCCCCGCCCCTTCCCTCTTTTTGCCAGGCAATTCCCTCCCTTACTTCGCCGTCCTCTCCATTCACTCGTGCAGAGTTCTTGTAAGGCGAAACCGCTTTCCAATTAAAACCACGTATTAAACGATTCATTTGAATTTTTTCATATTTTATTTATTTATGGTTTTTTTCTGGCTGTGTGCTAAATAAGCCGGCGGAAATCTCCAGCCGGTTTTGTATGAGGGAGAAAAAACAAACCTGTATGAAATTTTGCGCGGTTTTTGTCAAAGGTTCGTAAAGAAACCGCAGCCATTGTTTTAAAGGAACAAAAGTTCGGTTGACGTGCACCGCGGACGGAACGCTCTCTGAGACATGGATGGGACGGCGAAGGGAGGGGGGTGGCCTTTGCAAAGGCATGCGACGCACAGTGGGTGAGGAAACATTTCAAAACGAACCAATGCGCTGGTCGTAATCGTTTTGGCTTGCTCGACTTCCGATCAAAAATGTCCCATGCTAACTCTACGATATGATCAAGAGAAATTCGGTGCTTTTTGGCATGATCTATAAAAGTAAGACTCACTTTACTTCATTATTATGATTTTAGTTCACTGATAAATGGACTACATTTTGCAATAAGGAACTACTGTTCCTGGCTGACCGATGAAAGCACCCACCTTCACAAATAATTGAATGGTTCTTAAGGTCTTTCTAAAATGAGCCAGAGGTACTATTTACTTCCTTTATTGCTAAACGAAGTCCAAATATGACCACGGGTAGGAGTGAAATAACCGCGCGGTCATCCAGTAACTTTAAAAATAAGCAGGATTCAATGGGTCGCCTCGCAACATTGTCAGTACATGAACATTACGTATTTTCTGAGTTATTTTTCACAGCTATAAATAAATTTATGATTTTACAAATTTGTATGAAGTATGCGTCATCCTAACAGTGCAGATTTCCTTACACGTTCGAACAACCAACAAATCTGTTGAGTCTAAGGATTTTCACTTCACTGCTTGGTTTTAAATTACTTTAACATTGGGATATTAGGATGCCAAGTCCTAGTTTTTTTTTCAGAAATAGGTAAAGCCAATTCTGAAAAAGTTTTATGAATAAAACCTTCAAAACGTTTTTCAGAGTGTTCACTTCATAACAGTCTAAATAATTAAGTTCAACGTCATCCAACGCGATTATTTCTTTAGCTAATAGTAAGATCGGCTACTTACTCATTTCCTGCTTGAATACAGAATTTCATGCAACAAACTATTTTTTTACGAAAAGAGCACTACGGTTGTATAATCATTAATTGGACGGATGTAACCAGAGCAGCTTAGCTGCATTTCAGGTTGTCTAATTTCCTGTCATGTTTTATATTTCTGATAGAATTCGAAACAACAAAGAACGTTGTGGGACAGTTAGGACACGTGTGTTTAAAATTGTGCCACAACACGAGGTGGCTAGGATTTTTAGTTTCACTAAAATACACACCCAGATTTCAAACAAATAAGTCCCCGGAAGTAATGAAAGAGGCCGCGCGCATAAAAGGATGATGAAGTTTTGCAACTAACTGTCAACAAAAATGAAATGTGGTGAAAACTTTTAAAAAAATATGGCAGTCTTAAACCAAGAGCCTTTTGTACACTGTCCCGCTAACTCGAGGCAGATATGAGAGGAATAAAGTAGATGTTATTAAAAAAGTTCATACGGAGATTTTTTTATGCTCCGTTTAAATTTCGGCGTTTACAGATAATGAATAAAAAGTTGACTGAAACAATGAGACGCCGGGGAGGACATAACGGAATTGAGTTGCCAATCCCCTCTTCCTTAAGATATTTTGTTTTTTCCCCCATTTTTTTCAAATGCATATTCGTAGGGAGGCAGAAAGTATCTCGATGGTAAAAGTTGCAGAACGCGAATCTAGATTTGCGATGTTGAAAATTTCTCATCATACTTTATTTTATTCATGAGAAAATCAACGAGCTCCCTTTATATGTTCATTGATTTGTATTATCCTGTTTAGGATATTCTTTGAAATTTAAAAAAATAATTTCATGTTTTTATGTAAACAAATTGAAGCTGTAATTTTTAAACGTCACAATTATCGTAGTGTTGTGTGGCCTCCAAAATTTGTATGCGTCATCAATATGAGTCTAGAAGTGTAAATTTTAAAAAATAATATTGTCACTTATACTAATCTATTGAGGCAAAGTTTCCTGATATATTTTCCAAAAGTACCTTCGAATTTAAAAATCTTCAATTTAAATGAATAATTTTTTGTCAAGCAGGCACACGATGCATGTCCCCTTCTTCGGGGGGTAAGCAATATTTCGTACTAAAGTTGGCTGAAATACTTAATTCCCATGAATTTCTGCGGCTCCGTTTTTCTCGTCGTTTAAAATAAAGAGGATGAAAAGTTCCTCTTATCCTTGCGATTAAGTATCTGGGAGAACGGGAATTAGTAAAAATTATCAACCTTATCGATCATACGTCCTTTTTCCCCGTGAAGATTTTTAATTTTGCCTCTTGACAAGAAATGCCTTTGTTGTTCTGGATATTCTCAAGTGTTTTTCTCTTCTGACTTGTAATCCCCAATGTGGAATGTTTGTTTCAGGTGATGGAGCTACTAGAATTCAGCAATTCTTGGTTACTGAATTTATGCAGAAGAAACGGTTTCAGAATCTCAAATTTTCTAGTTCTCATATGTCTCTGCCATTTGATAGAATATTCAGAGTAAGTTTTGATATTTCTCTTTCCACATCTTTTGATTAAGTTATCGCCCAATTCCTACTGGGCTCCTTCTTTTGTTTCATTGTTGCTTCAACTTTCAAATAAAATATGTAACCACCGACGGACGAAACTGTTTCAGTAAAGTGATTTAGTTGAGTTGAATGAAAAAAACATTCGAGGTCTGGAAAGAAAATGCTCTCTATTTTGGCGTAAGCAATAAGCTGGAATCGGACTATTAAACTTTGGTGCCTGCCAAAAGAACGTGTACAGTTTGATTAATATTCGATCAGAATTTTTAGTAGCTTTTAGCGAAAACATGCTTTTTAAATTGTAAACGTCAAATTTTCATGGCTCTAGTTTAGTTTGGGCATTTTTGCTCCGAAAAAGGACATAAGTTCTAGTCTCGGTGCTCCAAGATCAGTGACTCAATTTTAAGTGCGTGCGAACTTGAGTTTCTTCTCCCGTTGATGATCCAGTCATATATTCTTCAACTGAACACTAAAAAATAACAGTAGGTAAAATTTCCGTTTCAGCAATATTCCATCGCAACTTTTAAGTGAGGCCATTATACAAGTACATAATGGTGGTTTTGTTACCATTAAATGCAATAATTCTGTTAACGCAATGGTGAAATTACCAACGCAGTGGTAAAAATACTACTATTCTTGGTTGTAACAACTATTAATTAAGAGTTCGTATGGCACGCCATTAATATGGTAATTTCAACCAAAGATTTTCCCTATTGCACATTCGAAAGGAGGAAGAGACGACTGCACCTGACAGCCTCTCCGCGTTACCGATTTTAGATTAAACACCTCGACTACATTTACAATTTTGAACTTTACGCAAATTAACAATCCTCAGACACAAGGACGGAAAAGAGGGGGAACGCTGAGATCCTCCCTTTCCCTGCCTCTTCTTAGTCGATAGAAGTTTTAAGTTGAATGAACAGCCCAGGTATCGCGTGGAACTAAGCCTTCTTGAAGAACTTTTATTTCCATAAAAAACACCGTTCATTCAAGAGAGCTAGAGATGCTTGCTGCAACCGGATTGAAATTAAATATTTACCTTAAGGGGGTGGAATATTCGACACCCTTTCCTCCTCTCTGATTTGGATTCAAGAGCCCTTGAAACTTCTTCTTTTCACCTGAGAACGCGCAGCTACTGCCAGGGTTCCCGTTTTTGTCAATGTTGCAGAATTTTTCTACATCTCAAAACTGTGAGAAGAGTGGTTTAAGACTTGAAAAGGGGCACCCAAATAGGACGTAATGGGATGTGTTAATGACTTTGCTCTATTGATTAGTCCGTATAATCAATTCATAAATGAGATCGGTGCCATCTCTTATGGATTGTATGTATTTTTTTTCAGTGCACTATGAAGCTCCTCTGAATACTATCGCAAAGGGAACCTAATCGGAAATTGTATTGAGAAAACCAATCGTTTATCTTAAATACAAACAAAGCGGCCCACTTTCCCAGTACTTACGCGCACTTTCTTTAATATAGTCCTGACTTTGAAAAAAAAAAAAAAAACTGCGATCAGGAAAAGCTCTGGTCGTTGTTCTATTTATGTTTACTCGCTCGCGGTCCATGTCTGCGTCAGCTAACGTCGCGTTGGTAGCGTTGGATTAGGGGCCAAAAAAGCACGAGCTCCCTCGCAGCATGGGCCCATAGGGCACGCGATATCGCTCCGATCGGAAAAATTTCCAAATAAAATTAGAAAAACTCAAAAACGGGGGAGCGGAAACTAAGCGCGCTGCTGTGTATGAAAGGTAAAAGATATAAAACACGTAATAACGTCACTCTCCACGCTTGCAATGACAGTCGCGCGATATTTCACCGCAACGCGGGTAACAGTGTTGCAACTACGTGCATTCAAATCCGTGCGAACGTGGATTCGATCATCCTAATATTTTTTGCAAAACGTGCAAATTTTAAAGAATCAAATTAAAATTACCCGATGTATTTTACTATTCAATTTACTTCAATCGCTTTTCAATTTATTCCATTTTATTTTACTCTGATTTTGGATATTCGGATGAACTCTGTCGCGATATTGAATGTACGGGTTTTGCGTAACGCTTTCATGCCAAAGCCGAGCTAAATTGACCCGAGGGTTGCTAAAAACACGCGGGCCGCGAGTTTCATATAAGGCCGGTACAATTCGGGTACATACGAACTACAGTGTAGGTCTACGAGTACATCGTAAAAGAGAATCAAACGTATGGTTGAAAAAAATTGAAAAATCGAGTGTCGGGGAATTTTTTTTTACAACTACCCCCGAAATTCCACGCCGAGTCAAATTAATCCAACTTTCTATTCTGAGAAAGTCACGGTGCCGGTACATATCGACGGTGAAACTACCAGACCACGTATCTCGTTTGCGGTGTTTAAAAATCTCCACTCACATTTTATTTTTTTGAATGAGATCAAATCAATATCATTCCTCACAATTTTCACAGATTTTTCTCCGCGCAAAGAGGAAAAATCACGGAAGTTTTCACAAATTGACGTTGAGTAGTTTTCTATTTAAAAAATAAAGTATGATAGGAAATCTACGACGTCGCAAACCGAGATACAAGGTTTGGAAGTTTCACCGTCGATATGAGCTTTGAATATAGGTCTACAAGTATACTCTCTAAAAAAGATCATACATCAAATTGAAAAAAAAATCGAGAGTCGACACAGATGAAGATGGGAAAGACACATTCGAGTCTCGTGTCTTAACTTCTCACCCAAATCGAAGCTACACCTCATTAACAGCATGTATCGGAGCATCGCAAGTTCACGCCTCGTGCCATCGCGCCTTCAATTTGACCAGATGCAACACGGACATCCATCAAGTACGAATAGTCGTATCTCTGCGCCGTCAGACGCGCATCCTTTCCCATCCTCTATTTCTATGTTGTGTTGGTTTCGTTTGTCTTATTTGTAGTGGTGCTTCAGAGGCTACCCAGTGAACATATTAAATCGTAATATTCATCGGGTTCTTCCTCACAAGAAAGTGAAAATAGCAATAAAACAACAGCGGTGATTTTGAAACACTGCGATCGATTGTGAGATACGTGTCTCACAACTTTGACCGCGGATATTAGGACGCATTAATGCTAAAATGAACTATATTGCACTCAAACTCCATGCACATAGTTTCTTTCAGAATGAATGCGTTAATTTAAAATAACGTGACAACGCAGCACTGACCTGAGACGAAGCGTCTTAACGGAGTTACTTACCTGCGAGGTGCATCTCGAGGAGAAAACCTGGAAGCTGCACGTGAATTGTGCTTAGGGCGGCGCTTAAAAAGATTTACTCGCAGCAAAGAAAACCACGAAAGTGACACATAATGAAAATATGAATTTGATCCACCGCGACGCCAACTTAACCTGTGCGCGCCCTCGAGTGTGTGACTCTGGATTCGTCCGATTCCAGCGGCGCCGTTCTGCCTCTGTTGACACATCGCTCCTATGAAATTTTCCTTTTTAACTATAGCTTCGATCGATATCGAGATCAGGGTGGCAAAATATCATGAAAAATAAAATCTTAAAGTTTCACGCGAAATATTTTATGAAATTTCAGAAATTTATGAAAGATATTAACGAATACCGGTTCCTTTTCATGTTTCTCAAAACGTAAAAATTGTGACTTTTTCTATGTGCGTATATTTTTGAGTGCGGGTTGCATACTGTAGCCCCTGAAAAATATGAAATATTTCACAGCCTCGTAAAATTTCTTGAAATATTTCACTAAAATGTCCAATCTTTCATTTCTCTCTTACGTTTTATGCCACCCTGATCGGGATAGGTAAGTGAGTGCGAATATTTAAAATAATATTATGAACCCACTTGCACGCATTGGCGGATTCAGAAATGTAGCAACGTTAATATTTCTTGATTTAAACATCTGGTAATGTATCGATTCTCAGAGGGGCCGGGCTTTGACAAGAATCGATTATTCAACACAGGTTTAAATGGATGAGAAGCAGTGTTGCCAAATAGCTGAATCGGCCTCTGCTTGCACGTCAATGATTAAAAATGGCAGACGCACTTTTCTGCCATGCTAAGGAAGAACGCCGTATGAGCCTTTAAACGTCGCCAAATTACCTTTGATATAATATGAATTTCCAGGAAAATCTGCGAATATTTTTCTTCCAATTTTTCAGAGAATTTTATCCGCAACCAGGTGTAAATAACCTGAGAATATCAAGGGAGAATATTCATAACTCTCCTCAAGAACAAACATTTTATCGGGGGAAATTTGGCCACTCTCGAATGTTCATACGGCGTTTTTTCTTAGTACGGCAGTTTTGACCTCGGCTCATCATCCTCGAAGCGATCCAATGAGGCTGGAACTCGAAACGTGTCTTCCGTTCTCAATCATTGATGCCCGATGGGCCACGAAACCATGAACGAATTTTGACTTGCGAATACATTTTTTCGAAGGTAAATGACGCGTACAACATGATGCGCGCATTGTAAACGCGGAAAAGTAACTCAGAAACAGAGACATATACTGTTCATGAAGCGTAATTTTTTTTGCAAATTTAAAACGTTTCGGTTTCGCGCCGAACCGAACGATGCAATATATACGGCACCAACCAGAGGCGGCAAGGGTTTGTGCGACTTCCGTCAAATATCATTTCTACTCCTTGTAAGTGAAACACTACACGGGGGAAAAAGTCTCTTTGGTTCCAGAACTAAGTAGACGCTTCTACTGACGTCGCTACTTGTCGATTTCTTGGTCGGTTACGTTTTCATTTCTCCACAAGAGAATATCGAATGCGTAAAGTTTAATGGTAGCGTGATGCTTGTGAGAATGATCGTTGAAGGTGTTAAAACACCACGAAATATGAAGAGCGGTGCAATATTCACCTACAGACGCGAGGAAAAGCCATCGCAAAATCCATTGTCACCCCGCAAAGAGTGAGAACAGGTGCAGCACCGTGTATTATGCGGCGCTCTGAGATTATGTGGGCATGTAGTGTGAATGCACGAAGCCACTAATTA